TTTGCACCTTCCAACATTGTGAATTCGATAGATTAAAATAAATTCTACTCAAAGTTAAGAGACCATAAAGGATAAATTTTTGCATTATACATCACAGCCTTACAGCCTATAGCCAAAATTTTAGACTATCTGATAGATAGATGGCATTTTCCCTTCTGTGAAATGTAAGGATAAATTATGCTTGCACCACCCACATACTATCAAGAAAAGATCTAGACTTATCCTTGGAGAATGGATCCAAACCCTATCTCATGGATGCATCGAAGAAATAAGCTATATTTAAAAGCTTTTAGAAGGTTCTAGTCACCATAAAGCAATAATCCAAACCATATTGAATTTTTTTAAATGTGATATCAGCCACCTCAATTTATGTCAAGTCCAGATCCATGGCTGTTGCACAAATCGGCACATGCTTGTATGGAATAAAAAAATAATTCATCTTTCAGAAGTTTCATCACAAGAAAATTCACCTAATTGGATTCACATTTTAGGTAGAGTTTTAACATCCATCATAGAATATCTTGCAGATGCTAATGTTCCAATAAGTGTCAAGAGGCATAATACAATAAAATGCCAAGAGTATTCTATCATAGAATTAGAACCAAAAAGTTTGTAGAGAACATGATTGTAGTTTATTAAAAAGAAGGAAGAAATGTTGTTTAACATAGGAAATCATATCAACGAATAAATCAGGGTAATGAAAGGGGATTTATAAACAAAATTTAATCCAATATGAAAACGTTAATCAATTCCTGAAAGAACTATTAAACAAACAAAATTTTTAGAAGTCATCAACGCAATCTAGAAGTATTGGGCGATTATCAAGAAACTAAATCACATAAATTCAGAAGATAGGCCAAGAGAAGGCTACCTAGGACAGTCAGCAGTGGACAAAAACTACCTTGCTTTTATGAAGACTAATTGTATGTTTTGTAGGTATTATTGGTCCTTCGAACCTAATTTGATCCAACACATTGTTTTGGTGGCAATGGTTATCACAACTATTTCAAGAAAGCTCATTGGACATTTAAACTAGACATGGCTACTTTAGCGGTATGCTTGTTTCAAATGCGGTGTCAGACACTGGATTTCATAGTGGACCTATCCTAAATGTTTAGTGTATCAACCCATGAGAAGTATTCTCTGTAACCTGACACATATATGTCGTACTTTGATTACTGTCAATCACTGCAACCTTGGATGAAGACAACAGAATTTTAAGCTCTGAAAAATAGTATGTTGTAATCGATCTATGACTTCAGATAATAAAAATAAAATTGTATGAGATAACTATGTCATAAACTTCATAAAAATGTCGATGTATGTCAAGTGACCGTATCATGGGAAAACAATCAGACCTGCTATTGTAATCAAAGGAGGTGACAATTGTGTGTGAACAATTGACGAGACTCAAGAGACTTTCTGACGGAAGGTGGTTGCGTATTAGTGTTGTATCATTTTATCCATAACGGACACGAGTATCTCGACATATATAAATAATGAATATATCTCGATGAATTTATAGTTATATAAATTCATAGTGAATTAATTACAATTTATAATAATAACAATAAATTAATTTAATTATATATTATTATATAATTAAATTAATTTATATCGATGAATTTATATTTATAAAAAATTCATAATTAATTATTTATAATTTAATAAAAATAATTTATAATTTAATAAAAAATAAATTTAATAATATATTATGATATAATTCAACTATATATAACATAGTTATTATAGATAATACCATAAATATATCTCGAATACAAATAATTGAATTCCACTCGAGATTCAACCCGCGAAAAGGAGAACTTCAAATCACTTTCGATGTTGATCATTTCGAAGCCCGTCGAAATCTGTGTACTACGTACACGAATCGGGAACGATCCCCTTTTGAAATTCCACGCTCTGCTCGCGGTACGCCCTCGCGGGCTAGCAGGAGGACGTCGTGTGGCAAGCCATGTCGCAATCCTCTCAGAGCCCATCGCGGAGGACTAATCACCGCAGCAGCCTACTGCGTCCACACCTAACTAGATACAGTTACCACACAACATGACCAGTTACGCAGTTGAGTTGATCTACACGATGGCGATGACGAACGGTGTGCTCATGATGGCCCCGGCCGTCAGCCGGAGTCACACGGTTGGGCTGGCTTCCGTCTGCAGTGTTGCAAGAGCTCACGGCGAGGTTTCACGAGTCAAAAGAACCCTAAAGCAAATGGACTAATCACCGCAGCAGCCTACTGCGTCCACACCTAACTAGATACAGTTACCACACAACATGACCAGTTACGCAGTTGAGTTGATCTACACGATGGCGATGACGAACGGTGTGCTCATGATGGCCCCGGCCGTCAGCCGGAGTCACACGGTTGGGCTGGCTTCCGTCTGCAGTGTTGCAAGAGCTCACGGCGAGGTTTCACGAGTCAAAAGAACCCTAAAGCAAATGGACTAATCACCGCAGCAGCCTACTGCGTCCACACCTAACTAGATACAGTTACCACACAACATGACCAGTTACGCAGTTGAGTTGATCTACACGATGGCGATGCCGAACGGTGTGCTCATGATGGCCCCGGCCGTCAGCCGGAGTCACACGGTTGGGCTGGCTTCCGTCTGCAGTGTTGCAAGAGCTCACGGCGAGGTTTCACGAGTCAAAAGAACCCTAAAGCAAATAATGCCGGGGACCCGACAGATTGCCTCCAGTGAGGATCGAACTCACGACCTTTCCCTTACGAAGGGAACGCACTACCACTGTGCTATAGAGGCGGATGTACATAACTGAAAAGTATACAATATATACTCACATTTTTTAGTGAGGTGCCAGCCCTTTGACGATAGCATCGAACTGTCCAGGCCAAAGCTTCAAGCTACTCGTCGTTCCTCGAGGTACAGTGTTGATGACGTCGGCGGCATTGCTTCAGACGACTCTGCTGCTTTCGTGTATTACCTGCTCATCAGCCCAGTGCCCAGATTTCTAGAGTATTGACTGCGGGGCGACAATTACTTTCCGATTCGATTAGCATTCCGTGGGTCACACATGATGACTACATATCCAAAAAATTATCATAATTTAATTATTTAAGTGTACACCATGCTCACTTTACCATTACATATTATCAAACCTAATATTGTTCACCGCTCTTGCTCGGAAATGAGCTATTTGTCTGGAGGTAGTCCTGCATTCATTCAGTGCCAGTGAACGCATTCTTATTATCTATCGCTGTATGTATCTTTGATGACGAATTATTGCAGATCAGGTAAAACTTGGATTCTGGACAACAATTCGTACCAAAGAGCATGTTCATAACAGATACTGTAAAAGTTGTCTTTTCAATTAAATTCAAGGTTCAATTCGGTACAAATACATAGAAATGACATTCATTATTCAGATTAGTATATCTTAGTAGACATGTTCATGTTTGGCCATGGATTAGTCAAGATTTTCGCCACAACATATTATAATATTATAGTAATCACTATAATATTATAATAAAATTTATTTATTTATTTATCTATTTATGGTAAAATTATAGAAACAATCCAAAACAGAAAATTTGTCAGCACAGAAAATCCTTTAAAAAATTAATGATATAATGCTATGTTTCGGTCTATAAAGTAGTGAGCCGTTGAAGGCCGTGCATCAACACATAAACAGGACTAGAGGACTTAGTGTTGAGTCAACTTGTTCACTTTCAGTGCACGATGACTCGAAACTCCATAGATGGAGTGGTTTATAATCCTCATCCATTTGTTCCCATTCCTCTCCTCATTTGGTTATTGTTCAACACTTTTTTTGGGTGGCCAGGACCTCTCGCGTTGGTCGACAAATGGGGGCTTTGTCAATGAAAGGCAATAGAAAAGGTGTTCCCGCAGATCTGGCAGCAAGACTCGACAAATCCCACAGTCTGCCATAGAAACAAAGGGGATTGTTAAATTCACCCCCCTTCGCTCGGCAGTTGTTGTCTAGTGGTAGGTGGAAGAGAAAGTACTTCAAATAATACCTTTTGGTTGAGCCTGGCCAGTGTGTGTTCAAGCTCCAGCAAGCAACAGATTTGGGTGTTTGCTCCATGCATATAGACATGGTCACGTAGCCTCAGATTTAGCCGGCTGACTATCCTTATTTTGACGGAAATATTCGGTCGAAATAAGGATTCGGTGTATTATGACAATTATGACAGCTGCCGGTAAAGAAGAAGCATAACCGGCAGGCAAGACTGCGTAAGGTGTATGGCAGGTTGCTTTGTACGTAAAACGGGAACGCCGTAAACTGCGACGCAGTCGATCGATCCGCCTCAGGTCCGATAGACGTCCACCGGCCGGCGACTGACCGTCCGATTCCAAGAGCCGGTCGACGACGAATAACGGCCCGAAGTCCCTCGAGCGGGAAGAAAGCGGGGAATCGAGAGGCCAACGAGCCCGGGCACTTGGAGACGTTTTTGTGAACGATGTGCGCTTATCGTTCGATCGTTATTGCTCCTGCTGAAGTGCTTTGCTGAGAGTCTCGACGTTTCTGAGATGCTCGAAAGTTTGCATGGGTGATGTTCTGTGAATCTAACATTCGCTTCTGGTTGCCAGCTTTTCATCGATCAATCCTTGCTTTGGATCGATCTCAGCTTAGCTGCAACGCTATGGGCTTTCGCCGTGTATGTTCTAATTCGCGGTGCCAACTTTTGCTAGCAATCGTTGGCTGGCAACATGGACCGAGTCTTTCGATGACAGCGGACCTCTCCTCCCTCTCTCAGAATCTTGCGGATCAGATAGACCCGGGCTGAATGTGCACATTCAGAACCATATTATACTAAGTGGAGGTCAATTGGAGGCCGAGGACATGCAGAACGACGTTGTTCAGTGATGATTCTGAACTGCCCGAAGACCTGACTGACTCCCGGTGCTTGCAGCTCAATTCAGCACCGTGGAGCAACTCTGATGCTCAAGAAAACAATCTGATAACAATTGGGCCACGAACTCGATATAAATAAAAAAATCTGCTGTAGTATTCTTATCAAGCCTTCCTTTCGTTGCTGAGCTATACAAATAATACGTTGCGCATCACTCTTCACAAGACTAGAGATGGTACATTATCAATGGTCAACTATCTAATGACGGTGCAGGTGGAATGAATCTTATGCTATGCCTGCCGCACATGGTGTACGATATCTGTACTGGAAGTCTCTAAGGTGAAAGAATCATACTAATGGCAGGTTAATGGATCCTGTAAACACTCTACTGTAAATGTTTTTCTCTTCTTTTCTTCCTAATAAAATACCAGGGAGAAGATCTATGATCGCAGAAAGCCTGAACAAAGCTCGTCCAGTCTAATCAAAGCCTCCGTTGATGAGTGAAGGAAGATGTTCGCAAGTGCCTCGTGTCGTTTCTTCTTCTTTCATGTTATAGTTCTGATGTTGTCAGAAGCCGTGGTCGATGTTCCCCATAGACCCGTCCTTCGTGCCCTCTTCCCGCAGTGGTTGGGATCGCGATCGGCTAATCATATCTCTGCTTCGATCGAGTCGACGATGCTTTGGGGCAGAGAGCGGCAGACGTTGTGCGCTATGTTGAAGACGGGCTTCATCTGTTCATGTACTGCTTTTGAGCCGGTGAATTGCTATTGACCCCAATATTACTCGGATCGGTTCGGTTTCCCATAGCTGAATCACACATTATCAGATCAGTGTCAGTCTATGATTGTGTGCTCAATCACAGAGTACTCCATCCATTTATGAAAGTCTACGTTTTCATTGATAGTTTACAGCCTTGGAAATTTCGTCTCTCTGGAAGGTGAGTGAGTGAGAGTGATCGGCATTCGATGAATCTACACCTTTGGAGAAATACAGTGGAAAGGAAACATCACCTCTAAGTTCATTATCATCAGGACCTCTGTCGCGGTGGAGTTGATTTCCCAGCTCGCGGGTGACTTGGCAAATAGAGCAAGCCTGACAGCAACAGTCGGTGAGACAATCGCCACAAGGGCCGGGAGGAAGTCCGTACTTTTGACGAAGACGTCCTCGATAAATACAAGTATATATGCATCCGACGCCTACGCAATACTGCAGTAAACAGAAGAGCGTTCCTGCAGTGCAACAGCCTGCAAGCGTGCAAGAAAGAAGCATTGCAGTGAGTTACAAATAATGCCAACGAGGTCATCAACTGATGCCACGAAGAGCGTAGATTGACAAGGAAGCGGCTGAGTCCATAATGTACACGACTTACTGGTTGCTCCTTCGTCAAGAACCTCCACGTTTTTTCCCACCAGAACACAGGGGCACCAACATCCCCAACAACCTGCAGCGAGAGAATTTGGTCAGCCAGCACTGAATGTGGCAGGAAGGAACTCCAAGCATTGATCCGAGAAAATTTTCAGACGTCTGATTCTAGTCTTTTATACAAACCAACATGAAGAGCTTCAGAAAATCTCGACGAGATCAGGTGCTGTTGAGCTCACATGTGTCACAATCATTCATACAGTCATACAGTCCTGTGCTCCATTCCGCCCTGGTAGGTGGAGGATAATTCATCGTTCGAGGAAGAAACCTTTCACTAAACCGGCAACGCTGACTTCAACAACAACCAACCACAAAGAACAGGCCGAGGAACGAATAGAAAGGGAGAGAAAGGGAATGGCAGGACGATACAACCAGATTCAATCTAAGACAGGCTCCAACAGAAAAAAATTGCAAAGATCCAAAATATTTAGTGGCTTTTCGATCGATCTTCCCCTGGTGAGTCTTCAGCTAGTATGACAGGGGAACTCTCATTAGTGGCCTCTCAACCAGCTTCTTATGCAGATCGTCGAGGCCTGTGACCTTCAATTCAGCACCTGCTGATCAGAGCTCGCGGACCTCGCAGATCCGCCGTCCTCGAGGCGACCCAAATCAGCATGTTTGACGTTGGACGCCCATCTGAGCAGTTCCCGGTCACAACGCAACCGCGACCGGGCATTCGCGATCCGGCGCCGGTGGGCCCCACCGGGTCACCCGGTCAGAGCTCGGAAGTGCGCTCCAGCCAAAATTCTTTGTTTTGCTCGAAAATGGACCCTTTCTCAATCTATCTTCGGGCCTCATTCCCTTCGCGCCGACCTTCCTGGTCTTTTATTTTTATTATCCACGTGGACCCCTTTTGGATAATAGAAAGCGAGATACGAATGAGCCTTGTTGTCTGAAGATATGTGTCGTATTTACTTCACGCGTCGCGCTCGACTTTAAGTCCTGGGACGCGTTATATGAACCGGATAGTTGCTCAATTCCCCCGGTCTGCGTGCCGGTCGAAACGTGTAATTCGTCCTCCGGGTGCTGAAGACCAGCTAGCTTCGACGCGAGGTCTCCGACTTCTGTCTTCGGAGAATCTGAAGTCTCTGATTCTCAAGACTCTTATCGTTGAGTCTGCATTGACTTGGAGGCACGACGTCAAAGGGCATGCCTGTGTGTATAAAATATATATATATATACACACACGTATATTTTAGAGTTATAGACTTTGAGATAAGCGAGAAAATATTCTAGAGATAATTGGCTGTCCCTCGGTGGGAGAATTGCACTTTCAATTTACGAAGGGATTTTCTTTTCTGATTTTATTTGATTCCTTAAATAGACACTTGGACATTCTGCTCCGGGTTTTAAACTTTTATTTTCGTGTCGATTGATTCTACTTCTAAGAGTGCTTTATTTCCATAGAAATATATTTTTTGATATGTCAAATATACATATTGTAATACGAGTATGACTTTTGATCTTGAAAGGGTGCATGGGCATGACATGTGCATGGACAAAATTTATTGTGCCTCCAATCCTAGTCTGCAAGGATGACGATCTCTGCTTTATTTCCATAGAAATATATTTTCTGATATGTCAAATATACATACTGTAATACGAGTTTGACTTTTGATCTTGAGAGGGTGCATGGACAAACTTTTTTGTGCCTCCAATTCTAGTCTGCAAGGATGACGATCTCTGCTTTATTTCCATAGAAATATATTTTCTGATATGTCAAATATACATATTGTAATACATCACTTTTGATCTTGAAACGATGCATGGGCATGACCCGACAAAATTTGTTGTGACTCCAATCCTAGTCTGCAAGGATGACGATCTCTGCTGTAGAAACTGACTGTGGCTTCGTCAGCATGTATCACTTTTAGTCGCGGTGTTTGGGCACGAACTAGGTTTCAGCTTTGGATGTTGATATCTGTTCATCTTAAATCATACAGAGTCCACTCCTATGATTTTCATAGAACTGGATTTTGTATGTCCTACCTGAAGGTGGATTGGCCTCTTGGTATGGTTGGCCATGCACCGTTGGACTTTCGCTTGAGCGCGTGAAGAGAATATGCTCGTGACGTACAACAACCTGTCACCTATTTCTTATTCTAACAAATGTGAAGGTTCCTCGAAAGATCACGAATCGGAGGACTTATGATTTCCCATTGTTTAGTGTTTCTTGTGGAAGTGATGTAGGTTTCTAATAATTTTCAATCACAACCACAAATTTCGTTAAAAGATGAGTTGAGTAAAACCTCACAACAATATGCAGAAACATTATAATTTAAGTAAGATTAGTGTTCATGTTCATCACTTACTTGTAGATACGAAGTTTGATTGAACTATTATCACATATTTATACTGTTGCAATTTCTTTTACAGGAACACATGCAGAAGCTCACACGCAGATATATACGAAATCCTCACACAATCATACATCGAGATGCCGACACAAAATATGTTGTTTTTCACTTCCATGTTGCAAATTTTTTCACCAGCTCACATGGAAACACATACAAAATGCCCACATGAGCACACATCAATGCAGCCAACAAGAATTACGTGGTTCATCACTGCAACGCTAGGATCTCGGGAACAACAGAAAATTCTTTACAAAGAATAGAAATCTAAAATGTTTATGTTAACCTTTGGCTAGCTGTGCTTTATAGTCAACATGAAAACCTATTCCTAACTAGGATTCAACTAACTGAATTGAGTTCAGAACTTAGGTAATATTAATAATCTTTCCATTAACTCATGTTGTGGTACTTTAACCTCCACAATCCATTTAATTATTTTGTAAAATGTTCTTGAAAGAATTTTATTGTATTCTTCTTCTTAATATTATTATATTTAAACTAGATCTCAGCAAAGTCATTTCAACTAACTATCCATGGTCGTCATGCAATTACAACACTCAATTTCAAGTACGTTTTAATTTTGTCTGTGAATGAACAAGCTGCTAGTTTATGCTGAAATTGCGTCAAGAGGTATGTTTGCGAGATTTTGTGTGAGACCCATTAGATAAATAAATCAGTTAGTTAGATACGTAGATTGAACCATACAACTGCAGGCTACCACACCAATTTCCAAAGGGTTCAAGAGTGTTGATCACATACTCCATTCTCGCATTAGGTTCTGCAAGCACTACAAACTGTGCTTTGTGAATGAGAGAATAAAGAAAGCTCTTACTGAAAACCGCACCAATTGTGTTGATTCTCTTGTTACTTATAATGTTCTAGCAAAGCATAGTTTTTTATCCATGCTCTTCTATAATTCATGCTATTGTTATCTCTTATCTAGATCTAACAATGTCAATTTGTTTTTGATGCAAAGATCAAACAATTAAAAATTTGCATATTTATGAAAAAAAAAATTGATCTCAAAAGATTATTGAGTTTGACTATCTTTTGTATCGTCATATTCACATGTGGAGATTTTGTTAATTGTTAGCCATATAAAATACATGATATTCAATTTTCTAATACAAAAAATATATTGTAAGACTTGTATGTGAATTGATTGTAAAATTGATCATAATTAGTTTAATCATAACTAGGTTTAGTTATTGAGTTTATATTTGACAAAATAATTAATATAATTTCAGAAATTATGAATAAAGATTTTTATCTAATCTCAGATCAAAATCCAAATTTTTATAAAAATTTTTTTTGACTACATGTTAGTTTTGACTGGTTTGACTAAATAATAAATTTGGTTGGATTAAGTGCAAAATTTAATATAATGACAAGTGAAAATTCTAAATTTTCAAAAATGAACCGCGTTAGCTCAACATAATGAAAAAAAATCTTCTAAAAGATTTGAATAAATCAATTACGTATTTTATGGATGGAAAATTAACCAAATCTACCCAGATTTATTTTAATATATTAAAGTTGATTATAATTACAAAAAAGTAACTACAATAATAATTTATGTAATATAAATAATTTTAAATAAAAATCTCTCAAGCAAGTTTGAAGGGTTTTTTGTGTGAGTATTTTTTTCATCTATGAAAGTTCAATTTTGCAAATTATCTTGAAATGTTAATGAATGTTGGTACTTAATTTTGAATGAATAGATTGTGAAAGAATGTATTTGAGACTCAAACATATAAATCGTATCTAAACTTCTAGAAAATTTATAAAATGTTATTTGAAGTAATCCTCATTGAGATATTTTTTGAGATTACAAAGCATATAATCATCATGTACATTGGTTTTGACTATTTGACATCAAACTGTTTCATATTTCATGGTTTCCCTCTCATACTGCCAATCATTTGAAATTGTTCCTTGTGTCATTTGTACAAAAAAGATTTTATTTCTGAAACTTTGCAAAACAACCAACATTACAACTGTTAACTTGTGAGCTTAATTCAATATTTGTAACTACAAAGGTTTTGAGTAACAAATAACCTTCAATCTTCAAACATACAAACCAAAAGCAAAATCAGAGAAAAACACGTAGCTACATGAATTGTAGATTTGTTTTCTTGCTTGAAAAAAAGAAATTTTTTATTTTTTAACCTAGTACTTAATTTAGGCTTTTTCAATTTGTGGTGCCAATGCCATTACTTTACATCATTATTTTCCCAAACATATATGTGCTTATTTGCCCTTGGAGTTTATCTATAAACGGTCTCTTTCATAAACAACGTTTTTGCATTTGGAGCAAAGTTTGTATAGATTTCATGAAAAATAGTTTCAACTGTACATCATCAAATCATTGGATGAACCATCTAATCAATGAGAAAGAAAAAATCCGAGGTATTTACTTGATGGGATCCATCGAAATCTAAATTGTTTATTGAAACAATTTAAATTTTAATTACCGGATGAAACCCCACCAATGGTACACGTCATGCATGTTCTAGTATCAACAGACCACGCCCAGCAATGGAACTCTGTCGCAGCAATCGAGAATCTCGACAGTGGACAGATTAGAGGGATTTGAAACATCCATACGAGCATATTGAATTGACCTGCCTATCTTGAAATAAAACCTTGGAATTCTCCACAGCCATGCTATGAAACATAGAAATATGACACCCCAGACCACCAACCTGCCTAATTCCATTGCCGTGTCACTTAGCAAGTACTGTACCAGACCACGTCACCGACAATGTTTCTCAAGAGGAAATGCAGCTGCACAGTCAAAGAAGCTAGGCTGCTGCTGAAATTGGCCCAACACTTCCCATGGACAAAATTTTGCATGTTGCAGAAGTTCACCATGACAATCTGGAATCCTTCCAGTCTGTCGTTTTAACGATCTGCGATCGCAGAGGTCCATTGAAGCTCGTATTATAGTAAACCACACGTTCAATTGTGTGACTAAAGTATCCATACTCAACTCCCTCTTTACTTGCACATGGCCACTGTTTCAAGAACCACTGTTTCAAGACATGTCCTATAAGCTTTTCACAACTTTCAGAGTGTCATACAATTCTTGGTAAGACTTACTTCTGGATCATGATTGGTTGTTCTCACCAGCATATGCGTAGAAAGTACTGTTTTCAACACATACTGTTGCTATTCCAAGGGTGTTTCCTCCTCCAAATGTGGTGAGAACCGAAAAATAGCGACGGATCGCTCGACGATGAAACTAGCGCTTCCTGTCCTCTTGCTTCGGACTGCACACATTGTGCACTTGAGTCATTATTCGAGATCAGAATGTTGTGGACGAAAGCCACGAAATATCTTGATATATACTTATATAGAATTTTTATTCGCTATGAATAATTAGTTTTCATGGACGTGATTCAACACTTGTGATTTGTGATGATTTTTGACAAATTCAGCCGTCACCACAGTTATGCTAAACCCACAAAAGTCCACTGTTAAAACATTGTAAATCATATCAACAATCAAAAAATATCAAGTTTAAAAAAAATCAATACTAAACTTGTATTGACTGCAGCACTCTTAATACAAATAGCCCATCTGCGTCGCTAGAACCAGGCCATGTTCTTTGACTCAAGAGCCAGACCAGACCCATGGGGAGCTACGAGCCCGGCCTGTCAGTGGAGTCTTTGTAAAAGCAAGACAATTCTCCCCTTTAGCCGCTACTCTTCATCTCTGGTACTTCGGACCTGTACATGTTGGTGGGGTTACATAGCCTAAAACAAATTTGATGGGTCCCATCAAGCAATTTAGGTTCCGATGGGTTTCATCAAATAAATACCTCGTAAAAAATGTAAAATAGTGTGAATGATCATAGCCACTCAATGGTTGCTTCTCGTTTGTTTAGTCAATCATTACATAACTTTATGAATCAAAAAATCAATAAGATTTTTGAAAGATCAAAGATGAATGAATTTGAGGCAGTCGCATGCTAGATGCTAGTCTGATCACAACCCAACAACAACCACGTTCCTTGGAGATAACACCGGCAATTCCTTCATAAGTATCATAAGCTTGTCTTCTCATTCTACATTCATTCATTAGTGATGGACATGGAGTCATACCCATTTGGAAGCTATGCCCATCCAAACCCACCAGGAAATAATAACCAACCATGGAAAAATAATGTCACCCAAAACCCATGGGCATGGGTGGTTTTGGGCATGGACACCCAATGTTGGGCTCTGCAGTACTTATGATCATAACTTCTCTTTGAATAAAGTAAATGTAGACGAAAAATGAATTACTTGAATTCATGCAAGATGAAGATAGGAATACAATGTCATGCACAACAATGATGATGATGCTAACCCGTATGAGATTAGGAGAAACATCTAAACTATCGAATGCAATATCGCGAAGTGGGGTTATCATGGCAGGTTGCAAGCGCAGATTCGAAGGTCAATTGCAACACATGCTTGCACGCATAATCTCCAGTTTTTGTAAAGACCTTTCCAGTATTTACACTAAGGCAGCTGTATATAACTTTTGTCTTACATAATGTAAATTTTACTTGAAGATCCCAGCTTACTGCCGGTGATTGTGACGATGTGGGGACTTGACACCATGTAATGAGCTTACACGAGAAAAAAGTGGGAAATTTCTTATTTCATTGTCTACAGGAGAAGTTAACATGGATTTTCATCCTCCGGCGATTATTTACACTGAAGCTTCGATATCATTCCGTATGCACACGACATGTTGCTCGTCCGTCTATCTAGTCACCATCCAGATTCGGTGCCCTTTCATAGCACGTCAGGCAAACACGTGCAAAAAGGCCAGCGTTCTGCTTTTCCGACAAACCCCATTCGCTGGTGCTTGCTTTGCTTTGGCTTGGAAACGACAATCTCGCTGCTCAGACCAGGGCACTTTGTGAAACACATTCTCCACGTGACTTTCACCAAAATAGTCATGGATGACAACAAAAATCAGACATGATCCTTACGTGCAAGTTCATCTCGAGCCAATACGTCAGTGTCCAAACAGATCTCGGTACACAAAGCTGCCACCCTAAAGCCGTCCCTCTACCTTCCTCACCTGTGAACATTGCTGAGCTGATCAAGTTGGGCTCGGTAGCAATAGGGAGAGACAGGTGCGGTTTGCATCCAACATGAGATGCAACCGATATGACACGAGGGGCATGGTCGGGATGTCCGGTATAAACAAATCTCCTGGTGTTGTTAATGACACTCCAAATAAGAAGATTAATACCGACAATGAAGTAAGAGCACTATCTCTGGAACCAGAAAAAGCTACCAACTTTTGTACCCCGAGCCATCGGTTTTCGTCATACCGCTCCACAGAGTTACGTATGTACCAACTTTCAGATCAGGACTATCGCATGTACCTCAGTTTTCTGCAAGGTACATGTGTCGCGGAGGGTAAAATAGCTAAGGACCTGGATGGGAGGAGTAAAAATTTCAGAAACAGCAGCAGCTCGTCTGCTTTAGGCTGTTTCACACAAAGTTTCAATGGCGCAACCATCCGAACTCTTCCGTATCTAGAGTACACTTCATCAAGGGCACCGTTTCACTTAGCCTGGATCGGATGTTCAGCATATCAACTCTCCTTTATTCCGTAGTGAGATGTCACCTTGGTATACAATCCGTTGAGCCCTCGAGCGATATTACTGCCGTCAAGTGCAGCACCTTGAAAGAACAATGTCTGGTCAATATTGGCCAAATATAGGGTTCTTACAAAACTCGGGTTGGTCAGAGAACCTGACACTCTCTTCAATATACTCACAGGCTGGAATTCGCGACTGGAATTAACCGCTTTCGTATTCATCCGGAAAAGATCACATGCATCGACGTAAAGAGCACAAACTCCAGGTTCAAGTTGGCACTGATGACCAAGAGAAATCAGTCATTAGTGCCCAGTCACCATCTCTTTCCCTGAAAGAATAGAGAAGAATTTTTTGGACACAGATGGCAAGAGATCTGGAAGTAGAAAACCAATGTGGCTTCGAACACACGAAAATAAAATTGGGCATACTTGGTGACTAGATAGGTCTCTTACAAGAACTGTCTCACACGATACTTGGTGCGTCGTTCGACCAATTACAAGAAGCACGTTGCCACCGAGTACGAATGCAATCTACAAGTGGGGCATGCTGTGCAGGCTCTTCCTTCACTGCTCCACCTTCCGCCATAACTGTGCTGTCTTGTGAGGCTACTTTGTACTCCTCCACCAAAACTGTATCAGGAGTCCACTTTGGCGGTACGGTTACTCGTAACTTTGTCAGTTTTGGTCGCTGATGTATCACGTTTCCCACAGTAGCAACAGTTTTAGCAATTCCGTTAAAGTGATAAAGCTCAAAATGTTTCTTCCCCAAAGAGGCGGCCGTGTCTTGAAGACCACCTTTACTCTTTTCCACTTGGCAGAGGGCTTGCCACAAATCATTCCAAACAACAATATCACTGCTGCATAGGTTGTTGAAAAGATCTTGAGGCATATCAATTTGGAGGTCGCTCAAGACCTGATGAAGGGCCTCCAGACTAATGAATCCACCCCCTCCGCTCTGATCTTGGGCATCAAATGCCTGACGTATGCTGGCCTCTCTGTCCTCGATGTCACTTTCATCTTGGACCTTAGTGGTAAATGCGAACAAAACTGTGTAATGTGACTCACTGCCAACTACCCAGATTGGCCACCTGGGTCGCTTTAGATGCTGTCCAACCTTGCATAGATTGAGAGACTCGAGAAGGGTAAGGAAACCGACTTCCACATTATTGGGTATTCCTTTCAAACACATCCCGCCCCCTAAGTCCATGCTCCCATCAAAAACATTCGGTACAGCTTGCCCGCAGAGCAGTAAATTCACGATTTCCTGCACAACAGCGTTTACAATCCGTTCAATAGCTGTCGTCAAGCGTCATATCAAACCTCTAATAGCTCTCGAGTCCAGCCCCTCAGACTGGACGGTCTGACGCGACCAAAAGTTAGGCCAGAATATCCATATCAGGTGAAAAAAATTTGAAACTGCGAATCTCTAGAGCAGCTCGTGCTTCCGCATGCTCTCTCAATCATCTACACACCCATTACTGCTTCGGTCACCCTACATGTCCACTAGTTTAAAGCAGAATATTCAACCTTCAGTTTGTTGAAAGTTTCTGCACTCGATAGAGACTCCAATGTCTGAGGAGCATAAGACATTCACTTCCACCAATCCCAAGGAGAAAATAGACGACTGGCACTTGTATTTTTGCAACCAAGAAGAGTTCACAATCTCACATTGCAGGGTCGTAGGAATGGTTCGGTGGTAATGGGAGAATCTGGCACATCTGCCAAATGTTCTTTAGAGTTCTCATACAAGGTATCCCGTGTATGAGAGCCAAGAAGGATGGTAGTAAACAAATGGCCAAGGCACTGGAAGTAAGCAAGTGAGAAACACCTACAGAAATGAGAGGATGGTTTGTCCCTCAAAGAGAACACTTGGACCATTTCTTGTCGCGATCATATATAGCACTCCAGTTAGTTTACCTGGACCAGAAAAAGTAGGCCATTAGACTTGGGAAGCCAAGCTGTTTTACAGCCCTAACCCGCCCTTGGCTGGCTTACTACCTATTGCTTATCTCATAAACAGAGCTGGAAAGAACTATTTCAAAATATCATGGGTGTAAGCTTTAGGAACAGCATCACATTCACAGGGACTCACTTTGACGCCTGGATATTATGAGCTACATCTTTGAATAGCTTTGTATATCCCTAGTGCTACAGGTAGTAGCCCTGTTAGAAGTCTGGTTGTTACAACTGTGGTCTAGGTGAGATAGTTTGAAGAGGATAAGGCCAAAAGCATCAGCCGAGAGTCCAAGTGAAGAAGACCAATTGAGAAGTCTTCCGGATAGAATTTGGCTATCCTAAACAGCTACAAGTTGAGCAGAAACCAAAGGAGTATGCTAAGAGTCCAAGCTGTCATGGTTGAAAGTCGAATATCGTATATTCATGTTTATAAAGACCAATGTTAACAGCTCCAGAGAGTCAAAGCGGTTCCTTTCGCAGAGACAGGAAATACAAGCTTCGAACTCAACAGGTAGGCTTAACGGTGAATTTTTAGAATGTGGCACGTGGGGAGTCCCATATAACGCAGACCCCAGTCAGGTAGAAAGCTGTCCGTCTGACTAATAGCTGCCCCTAACTACACTGTGATGATGATGAACTTATCTTCCATGCATGCTGTACAAAAAAAGGTTTAACTTCATTCCCAAGTGACAAAACGAATCACTTCACTGCACACAACGTGGATAGACGTTATACCTGCGATGCATGTCCAAATGGCGGAGTGACGAGGGGTTGTTCTGGATCATCACGGTCAGATTGAATTGCATCCTGTGGACATAGAGACCCATGAATACCGAACGTGTGCATGAAAGGATGTGTAAGAGCTCCATAGTAGAATTTCTATCAAACAGTTCGTAGATTACATTCAAAGTGCAAATATGCAATGAGAGACAGGACTAGGACGTCAATTCGCAGATAAGGTGATTGGTATTTACCAGACCGCGAGATAATAGGACAGAAAAAAGAAGTAAGAGTGCTCCCATGCGACTTCTAAAAGCTGGAAGCAGAGAGTGAAGCTGGAGGTGGAGAGCCGAAATCGATGTTACTGCACAAACTTTTACTAGCCTGTGGAACTCTTTAACGGACTCCAGGGCCACACCATCCAATGCTTTCGCGGCAATCTAACAAATAAACAACACAATATCAGGATATACTTCTGTCTAAGTTAACGCATTTCCCCTTTCATTACGTCCATGTTAATTAAACACGAACGTTCTAACTCATGTAGTTATTTCCATTGAAAATGGTCTACTTATTTTTTCCCAACAGAACATATCTTCGGAGATCCCACCAGATAAGAACATAGATGTTGGGCTTAACGATTTTAGGAAGATTCTCATATTACTTATTGTTCTCTCACAAACATAATCAAGCATAACAGAGTGAAAAAAGCATCTGTAAAGGAAGAGCAGGAATTTTTGTCCCGACCGACGACAACTTTTCTTAAAGTGGAGGTTTCTCTTATAACATATTGCAGTGCAATGTCAGTCGAATGAAAGTCAGAGCGAGAAAAAATAATTTCCACACCTCATCTTGCTCTTCTTCCTTGGAAATGTCTTCCGCAGCGAAACCAGGAATGTCAAGAACGACCAACATCGCTTTTTGCTTTCCACCAGCTTTCCACAATGTCTCTCCCATAGCTCGAACTAATGCTCTTGAGTAAGCAACAAACGGCAGAACATGATATAAGATAACAAAACCACTATGATACTAATCATCAAGCTTCAAACATGAGATGAACAAATTACCAATGTCGTCAGGGTTTAAAAAAACGCATATACAATCCTGCGCATTCTAAAATTCTCGCTTATCGGCAGTCAATAGCGTCACGTTGTCGAACTTCTAGTACAGTATTATGACTGTGGGTACACAAAAACGGGAAACCACAAAATGACATTCTTCCACTGCAACTAGCCCTGAATAGAAAGGAACCATGATGGAAACCTCTGGCCACTTAAACAACATCGACTATAAAAGTTAGCGCTAACTGCACGTTACCCTTACAACCATCTGTAATCACCATTCTTGAATTAAATAAAGCTTTCCTTTCAAATTTCATTGAGCTTAGATAGTTTTCGAAATCAATCCCGTGTGAAGAGGAATAACCTTGTCCTTCGAGGGTCGCTAAATGTAAGTCTCGGATCAAGCGAATCACCGCCGGCACTATGTGACTTTCCAGAGTGCGACGCAACCATGTCCCTGATTCCAAATAATTGAGCATCAGCCTCGTCTTCCGGCACAAATAGGAGGTACTTCAACACTAGTGCCTGCCCAGACACTAAATAATGTCAGCAAATGATTCAGATGAGTTACAACACCAAAACTTGACAAGACCTACTTTCGGTCGACTATAATCATACAGAGTTATTTTCAAAGAATCAAGGCATAAACAGCGCCACCACATAGCACGTTCCTTGTACATGAACTACGCCAATTTACCACATTACAGAGAATGCACTGTCGGATGTCTCTAACCTTCGCGGGCGATATCCAATTGCATAAAAAAACTAGCGCTCGGAAAAGACCGAATGGAACAAAATGATGACAGAATTAACCTGTGTAACCCTTGGGGTCCTTCAGAAACTCAAACAATATGTGAACCACTATGACAGGGAGGATTCAGCCCTGTAAACAACATAAGGAGCTGAGTCTTTCACTTCGCTAGGACTTGACCAAATTTGGTTTTGCGGACAGAAATTACCTGTATAGGTGCAAGAACTCCACAGGGGCCTCCTTCCCGCTGGACCAATCCAAGAGACGTTTCCTGATCAGGACTAAATCTGCGAGTACCAGACCAGGTATGCCAAATAATCATTACATAATTATCAATGCGGAGGAAAAGACGTTCTGACTTGTTGCTGCATATCGAGGGCACACGAAATCCACCGTACTTACTGTATACAGTGAATTGTACAGACCTAGCATGGATAAGAGAGATTTATCCATGCTCTACAAAATGCATTCATTCAGTCCTCTTGAGAGACTAAAGAGGTTTCTTTTAAGGACATGAAGACACTAGCTTCGGTACCTACAGGCTAAAGAGGTAAAAAACTAGACCAAAATTTCCATGCGCCATACATAGCACAATCAGCTAGAACGTACCATGATAATCAGGATTCACAAGTGTGATATAATTTGAGCTAGTTTTAAGATAAACCTAAAAGCTGCAAGGCTTTGCACACCCGACACTGTACAAAGTGCCACTGTCACTTTCTACTCAAGACTTCTACACCAGTATCCTTGTGTGGTAGAATTTTAAGTTCTAAGTCAAAGTTTCAGGAAAATAAGATGCGATGGTCTCCACGGTTAAGATAGTCCACGGTATAAGGTGAATAATCTACCAGCACTAACCGACTGATTGCAGGAGAAGGTAATAACAAAGAATGAGGAAGTGGTTTGTCATCATAAGAGTTATAAATCTGACTCCCACAATTTTTGTGAGATCACAACTTGTCAAGGAGATTGTCAGGATTTTCTTCAAAAGTAAAATCCCATAGACGTAAATTTTGTAGGTCTTCTACGACTCTGATCAACATTTGCGGACCATAACTAAAGTCACGTCTCATCATCAAAAAAATATTTCAAAAGGCTACCATGCTCGGATTATTCCTCGGTAGACATATGTTGCATTCAGGGCATAACCAACTACATATCCTGAATGACGTCCGACGGAGGAAAGAGACTATCCATTTGCAATCCTTTTCACTGAATCTGCAGGTGCTGAAAGGAAGGACCCTGCCGATCGGTTTGCGGTGTTTTACATACTAAAGCGAAAACGAATCAATGTCTTTCGCATTCGTAGCGTGGGCAAAAATGAGCAGAAATAAATACGCACCGAAAGCCTTGATTACACCACTGAGCAAGGACATCCTTCGACATATTTGTTCCAAAAACCATTGTGTGCAACTGCTCCGCAACTCGATATGGCAGCTGTTGTCGTTCATCCTCAACCCTTCTCTTTCCTCGCACGCTTTTTTCCCCGAGTTCTCTCACACCAGCTTGACCCTGCAATCTATCTTGCACCGGAGCCGCAATTTTACCGGGGCTGCGGTGCTCGTTGGAGACATCGACCTGGGAGGAGGACGATATAGAGGGATCGATGAAGCCCGGGGAGCCCCCTCGAGCCATAGACCTCGTCCTCCTCTGCTCGGCAGCCGCAGCAAGAATTTCCCGCTGCAACCGCCGATCTCTCGCTTCGGCGGTCTCCGTAGACGAGGGAGGAGTGGCTGGAGGAGACGAGAGCGTAGCATTGTCTCGCGGCTTGCTGCGCTTCGCATCCGGTACAGGCTGCAAGCTCATGCGAAACGCCCTCTGCAGCTCCTCATCATCATGCTCACCCATCCAGATCTGCTCTTCTCTCCCTCGATCCACTGCCTCCCTCTTGCGACTCACTTTGGCCAGCTCCAACTATTCCCACAATCCCACCGTCGCCTCAGCCCTCCCCTCCCCTCCCCTCCCCTCCCCGTCACCTTAACCCCGGACCTTCCCTATTTCCCGTACCGATTCTAAACTCTCCTCCTTTGCACTTGCACAATCCCTTCCCGCTCGCATCTCATTCTCCTCCTCCTCCTCCTCCCGGCCCCCGGCCCCCACGGGCCTGGTCCTAACCCCGCTCGCCCTCGCCTGCGCGATCACCACAACCACTAGCGCAGCGTCCCAGCACAAGTCCTCCGCCAAATCACTGATCCAATCGATTCCAGAGCAGTCTGTCTCCCCGATCCATCCACCTTCCTCTCTCCTCGCCCTAATCGCTCGTCCTCCTCCTCGTCCTTCGTGCGCCACTCCAACCACACACACGCACGCCTGCGTACGTCGAAGCGCGTCGTCTTTTTCTCCTCCTCCTCGTACTCCTCCTGCCCACCAACAAGCCCAGCACCGAGCAATTGGCGAAATCTCGCGCTGCTGCTGCTGCTCGACCGAACAAATCGGAGGCCGGGCGAGTGAGCGAGTGCGAAGGCCGACGAGCGTTAGTCTGACGCCAAAGCTGCAGCAGCAGCGCCCCAGCGCAACGTGCCGATCACCCTCATCGTCGTCGTCGAATCCTCGTTCGCCCTCCCGACGAGAAAGAGTTCGCACTCCACGCGCCGGTAGATCGCCAGGCCTACGGCCCTAGGCTCGGTCTCCTGCTTTGGTCCTGCCTCCGGCTCTGGCTCGGTCTCGGGCTCGGGCTCAGTCGGCAGCTGTGGCCCTGGCTCTGTCCCTGTCCCTGACCCTGGCTCTGGCAGTCAGACCTTCGTGGGGTCAGTGGGAACGCGACTGTGAGAGACAGAGTGATAGAGAGACCACGACGGACTTCTTATCGTGTACGAGTTGAGTTCCGTCCCGCTCCCGTGGTGCAGGCAGGGACGGGGACCGTGGCTTCGTGACGTGGCAGTCTGCGGTGCCGAGGACTTTTGGGCTCTTCCAAGAATTCGCGCCCGCCTGGCCCGCCAGCTGGATCGAGCACGATCCTTTCTGTGGCGACGTCCTCCATGTTCCTCGGATTCCTCTTTGCCGTTGTCTGATTTTCTTCTTCACCTTTGATTCCGTCGGGTTTCGGCCAGCCGCTTCGTTTTCCATGCGTCTCCCCTGCCCTCACCTGCTCAGGTCGCACCATACTACACGACATTCGGTGTACATGTGGGTTGAAGGTTCGGTTGAGCGTACTCGTCAGGGTAGTTGTATCACATTCATGTGTGCAACTGAAACATATTCAAACCTGCAACCAACGTTAACTTCCTCATCAAGCCGGTGAAAATTACATACCAAATTAAACTTATGATGCTTATTCAAATTCAAGTTTTTTCTAACTAGATTTTCTTCTTTGTTTGAGTCTTAACCTGTGTCGATATTTACATGTCTCAAGTTCTACGCAACGTTTTTGAATAAATTCTGTGCGGTCTTCTACGAAGTGCCTACTTCACCGGCCTGGGATTTGTTATAAGAGTACGTAACGGTATGGAACTTGTCAATTTTCTTCAACCCGGATACATCCTTTGGCAAGACACTACATCAATATTAGCAAGAGTTAAAGTGAATGCTCTCGGCGTGTCTGTGCTCAGAAGAGATGCCTTCGTTTCCAATTTTGAAGACATATGAAGGATTTCACTTTCACTGATCGCGTGCTATATGCTGAATTATGCTGATTTGCCTCAACAGGTAATAGGACGAAGACCAATTCCTTACGGTGCGATGTTCGATGTCTATCATCCGATGCTCAGATGCGTCCACTTCAGGCTTTGCCGCTTTAATGTTCCTTCATACATAGTCACATATGGTGATGGCTGTAGGTGCTGGTGATTTTATTAAATTTTCACATGAGACAACCTTGTATACGACATTTAAGACGTTCATAGCGTTTCAACGGAGTGATCATAACTTCACCCTCAAACCCGCAAGTTCTTTCTCTAGAACCTCCCTACAATTACTGAAAGGTGATTCGAACTCCCATCTTCAACTTAGTTGACCGCCTTTAGCTGCAAATTTCACAAAATGCCACTTAAGATTTGGCGATTCCGGAATGTGTGGAAAGGCCATCGTCAAGAAAAGTAATTCATGTTCCGATAAAGCCTTCTGCTAGTCAGCTCAGTACTCCACGTCTAGTTACCCGCATCGATCGTTGCAAACATCATAATCTTCTTGTAAGTAACGAACAAGATCGTCTGATTATAGTCGAAGTCATAAAAATGCAGGCAATAGGTACAGTGTTTTAGAGACTAAAAAATCGCTTTCTCCACACATGTGTCGTAAATTAAATGTGCTAGCTTTCCCATTTGTGAGAGGATATCAGTTAATTTCAAAAAAATTTCTTCAAGTACTATTGTATTGCTCTATGAGTCATTGGCGACGAAGAGAAGCCCGATATATGACAACCCTGCAGTTTGGGACCATGAAGACATCAGTTGAGAATCCGCCTTATCATCGTACTTAAAATGAAATAAATTCGGTGTGGTCATGTATAAAAAATGCACATCCATATCTCTACATCCCATCGTGCTTTGAATAAACGAATAAGAGGACAGACCAGAGTGACTCAATTTTAGCAATGTGCTGAGCTACAAATGTTCTGTTCCGTCTTCAGCTGTCCTGTATCAACAGACGATGATTCTCGGTTAACTTCATGCAAAACTCATTCTTTTCGCACTGTCGTGCTTTCGGTAAAAGATGAATGTCACACGGCCTACGTTGATATTGATCACTACTGGATCGAAAATGTATTGGAAAACTTGGCGTGTTCTAGCAAAAACTGATACTTACAATTGGGATGTGGAAACGGTAGGTTCGAGCCTTCATCAATAAGCCCATGAGCTCCTAAAATGATGCAAGCCGACTGGAATGACCTGTGTTTGTACCGCAGACGTGACTATTCATTAGGCTGTTGAAGCATGACATTTCTTGGACGCCTAGAACAGACATCAGTAAGTAGTGACAAGAGACAGTGGCCAAACTTTATATTCAGCGCAATACTAATATTGTCTTTACGAGACCTCTGTCGAATATCATCCTCCCAGGGCTAGTGAAAGGCCTTGGGCAAAACATACAACTGCTTCAGTCTTGAAAGATAGATTACTCATAATTTCGCTCTTCCAAACGGTTGTAGGGACTAAGGCGGTCGTCCCTGTGGAGATTAGGCAGATTCACTTACATCTTTAGCGATGAAACGAAGATGACCTGGCACACGAGATCGGGCCTTACATCGGTCTTCAAAAAAGTTTCTCCATTACCATTCACTGCTTCTCAAACCTTCATCGCTTGAGGACACAAACAAATGTGGTGTTGGTTATTTGTTGTGATTTGCTGTGCAAATTGTGGAAATTCATATATTCTCCACCAAAACCAGTTGAGAAGTCACACTCCTGAGCTGAACTCCATATAGTTTACACTCTTAATGAAAGCCTTAAGACGGTGGCTATCACCATTGAGCAAGCAGTAAAGCTTCAAGTCTACGGGGATCTTTCACGCCGCATAAGTGAAGCCGTTTTTGTCATATAACTATTACAAGAAGCTGACCAGAGGTTCATCCCACCAGTTTGCAAGTTAACCAAAGTGTATACCACTTCTTCAATAGTAGGAATATACAACACGCCTTGATCGTACGCTGACTCGATCAGTGATGAGGATAGAGAACTCCTACGGCTGAACCATGACTAAATGACATCGAAGAGTTCAACTTCGGTGAGAGAGTTTCAGCCGTACAGCATAAGAACTCGTCTCCATCCACATCCTATGGCAAGACAAGGCCATTCAATGACAACAGTGAAATAAACGAACTATTTGTCATGTGCATGAAACCTAGACGGTAACCAAGACAAAGAACAAATTCTTGCAAGTCCATTGATGATTCACGACAATGACTTACTTAACTTACGATAAACCACCGAAAAATAGGAAAAGGAATATGTCTAACTCCAAAAAGACCATTCTCAGCTGAAGTTTTTCATACCTCGATACAAATGTTGACATCGATCGTAAAACTTGGACCATTCAATGCCAACTCCCAAGCGCCTCATAATTATGAACTTTAAAATAATTATCCGCCCTCCAGAAGAATCTCCACAAAATTGGACAGAGTGTATTCGAGGAGGAGGAGAAGCTTAGTGACATCATTTATCACGAGTAATATACATGTAGGGATATCTCTCCCGTCCCTTGAGTATCCCTGAGATTGATAACAAAATTGCCAAGAACTTTCTACGTTGGAGCTCAGAAAATACACAGGAAAATATCAGACTAGATTAACTGTTAAAGCCAAGGGTAGCTGTAGTCACAAACTCACCAGCTGTTGTAGGCTTTGTCGATGTGTATTCTGGAGAGTCTGCCTCTATGACGAGCTATGAATCTTCTTCACCCAGGTACAATTTAGTTCCTAATAAGTAAAATAACCTTGTCTGAAAGGTCCCGCAAAACATTGCGCACCTAACACAGACAGTCTATAAAAGCACAAGGGTTGCACCTGCCAAGGCGAGATTCCATTAGAATCGAGAACTGTAGACATCCTGTTTTCTCTCCGCCAAAGATTCGACCTAATTACACTGTAACCATCGCAGAATTATCTCCTCTCATCCCAACTCACGCACACAACTTCATAATCAGTTGCATCCACGGGTCAAGAGGATTCACCACACTAAATGGTCATTCGAGACTATGGTATAATGATCTTACACTTCAGAGGTAGAGATACGTCGGAACAAGAATCAGACTCGGTCATAATTCTTGCCATCAGCGGACAGTATCTGAAACAAAAATACCTTCTACCTTCAATCTTCACCTTCTTTTCATTGATGTAAGAACTGATCATATAAGACACCTTCATGGAAGGGGATAGCTTTTTTACGGTCCGTACCAAGGTGCGCCTGGAAAAGACGAAAATATGTTAGAGAATATGTGTTAAACTCTAAATCCTACTCAGAGGACACATCAAAGGTAATCTATGGATGTATACAACGGTACAAATGACACAGGACGGAAATAGAGTCAAAAAGATAAAACGATTGATAACGCAAGTCACATCTCTCTACGACGCATCCGTGACGTTGAAATATTGAGACTCTACTCTTAATATGAACCACCAACCACTGCTATGGAGTAACATCAAAAACAATTATAAACATCAAAAAGGAAAGCATGGTTACATGGTTACATACAGAACACCTAGTGAAAACCATACAATTGATGTCATAAGAAACTGTTAGGACGAGCAAAACTCCAGTGTTATGTCTACAGAACTAATTTTGTAGTATACAAGGGAAAGAACCCGCAACTAGGGTCCAGACCACATGCGCATCCGCGTTTTTGCGGAAGCCTAAAGCCCTTCACTTCCCCCGACGAACATCTCTCAAGGACAAGAATATCTCTGAATTTACCTAGCACTGCCTGACAGTGTCCAGGAACAAGGATATCGAAAGGAGACAGTCACAAAGAGCTCATCACCAATTTGCAAACAGATTATAATTCTATGCAAGAAAATTATCAACCTCAGTTGTCTAAGAAGCAATGTCTTTCAACAGTAATAAATATTCGAGCCATGATCTTGAAAGACGGAGAGTGAGGATGAGACCCTTTTAGGGCCAATTCCAAAGATTGGAGTTAAAGCAATATTTGTTAATGTAGTTGTAAGAACAAGCGCCAATATATTCCACGTGGAGTACACGCCCCCAGATAATGGAGGTCATAGGCTCTCGCGAGATAATAAGAAGAAGGTAATCTCCTAGAACATTTACATATATTTGTATGCTACTGTGCGTATAAATCACTCACAACCTTGAAGACATATTTTCCAGAAACAGTAAACGAATCGATTATAGACTCAGCAGTAGCTAATGAAAACATCTGCCGTAGACCAGGTCAGACATCGCCTTTAAAACGATGCCTCAAGAATATCATACACATGGTACAGCTAATTGAATCATATCTCAGCGCTCACACTAAAAAGAACTTGCAGCAATTGTTACAGATAACTCCACACCATAATTAGAGACATGCCTCAGATGGAAACTCGAAGGTGGTGGACGGCTTTGGCAGCAAGGAGAAGCACAAAAAATAAAGGTAACAGAACAGGCATGTATGCCTCACCTTCCAAAGCATCTTGCACGAGTCACGAGACTCAGCTCAAGATACCGAATTGAAGTTGGAAACAAAACTCAGCTGTATGTGTACATTTCTGCAGAGTGAGGACGAGGCCGCGGCGCGATGGGGTGTCTTTATACTAAAGGCGCCTATAATTACAACTTTACCTCAAACCTTCCAAAATTCCTTCTTTGGAGTGTGATACCACGTCTAATCTGCCCGTAGGGAAACTAAGGCTCTCTAAGACAGGTTTCTGGTCAATAATCCCCGCTTCGTCTGGGAGGGTTGACGACAAGAACTGTACAGGATCATCATTAATGCATGGAGTTCCGTTTCCTTGAGCAAAAACCTGCTCACTATCGTTTGCGGACTTAAATTGACTACCCAGTGAAGCTTCTTGAACTCCAACGCTAGCAGTGGCCCGGGGTGGGATTCGGTCAGGCACGAAAGCAGTACTACTAAGCGGTGGGGTATCACCTAATATCTCCATCGTTGTCTTGCATGCATCCGTGTTCAACTCTACGTCTTGTGGCTTCACCATGGCATGACAGTTGGCGCCTGAAACGGATGAATTACTGACTCTGACGTGATTTCGCACCACAAGCCCAGCTGAAGAACAGCTCTCAGTTTGTAGAGATGGCACTGGAGACATGCTACTCTCCTCTTTATGTTCAGACTTAGAAGCAGATGCGAAATTCAATCCCGCTACATTATCCCTCAACTTGGAAACAGGAGTATTAGTCCCGAATCGTGGATCCACACGATAACCAGTCAGAACAGGAGTTCTGTACCCATTCATCACAGGCGGAGGAGCCCAAGCGGGGGCGAGTGTTGATCTCTCGTCATATGTGCCTCCCCAAGGAAGAGACGTCGAGACAGGAGGAAGCCCGGGCGGACCTACACCATTGTTCGGGGGTACAGCTGCGGAGGACCATCCCCAAGGAGCGTTTGGAACACCTGCCGGTAGTTGAGGTACGCCAGGATAAGGAGACTTTTCCGTAATGTACATAGGTCCTGGAATGTACTGAGGTGGAGGTTTACAGAACAAAAGTTTGGCTATGGTCCGATCGATCGGATTTGTTTCTGTCTCCACCTCGCTCATGCTTGTTGCCCTGCCACATAAAGCAAATAGTTGATCTACCGCCAGAGAACAATATTTGAAACCTGCTATGAGTAGATTCATCAAACTGAAAGCAGAATGGCTTCAAGCTAAACTTTACCTCCACGAATCAGCACTAGTTTGACACCGACACTACGATTTCGTATAGCAGGCATCATCCAAGGGGCAAACCAGTTCAGAGCAGAGGTATTTCGGACCAACGTAAGTTCAGCACTTTATAGTGCTGGTCCACAATCGCGTCATTAACAACGCGGGTGACATATAGTAGTTGAGATTATTATGATAACTGCACTCACGCTCAGGAAGCAAAATCGACCAGAAATGAGGTTTTGAGTTCAATACCTTGATCCTCTACACGATGGGGAGTCGCTGGCAGTGGAAGATTCCACTCCATTACATCCACTCGTGCGCTCGCCGGAACTTTGACTACTACATCCATTTTCTCCGCCTGCCGCTCGTCGTTTCCTCGCACTTCTAGCCAGACGATAGAGAGCGTTTCGTATGACCAAACGTGTCTTTATATCAAGCTGAGAAAACAATGTCACGGGTCGTCAGACTTAGGAGTCCCTAATATCCTAACAGGCCTATCAACGTCACATCGTGAAGGGTAATGCTCCTGAATGACTAATTAGACAAGTTTACATCTGCATATTACTTCACAATGAAATCAATAGGATCAGCCGGAAGATAACGGTAACGTTGATCACGTCCACACCCTTGCAATAGTGTTCGCTTCAGAACAGTTGATAGATCTCGTGCTAGACAATAATGCTTTCACTGAGAATACGCAATGCAACCAATAACCATAATAATGCAACCACCACTAAGCGTACTTAGAAATTACTTGCTGAAGAATAGATATATAGAAGACTAGGACTTACTTGTGAAATTGTCATTTCAAGCTGGCAAAGCACGGATCCCTCGAGCGATGAGTCCTCGTTTTCACCACTAGTAGTAGCTGGGATGTCACCTCCAGCTGGGACAAGTGTCTTGTGCTCTGTATCCATTACAGACTTCAAACGTCCATCGGAGGATTCTGTCGAAAGTCTTCCTGGTGCCAAGTTCTGCGAAGTTGTATGTTGTGGCCTATGATATATCGGAGGCTCGATGGCGCCACCATTTTGAGATGCCAATAGCTGCTTTTGCTGCTGTTCCACAGCAATTATGGCTTGCATTTGCTGCCTCCACCGCAATTTTTCCAACTTCTCTTGCGGGGTCATGCTAGGACTGCAGGTTGGCGGACGACAAGAGGCATCAAAACTGGGCCGTACAGGTACTGGGTGCTGCTGTTGCTGTTCGATTGGGCCGGGAGTTTGAAAGGGCACTTTAGGAGCTAACGGGCTGGGTATCGGAGTTCCGTGTTGGTTAGAAGGTTTCTGGGAATGGATGTTTGGTGGTTGCAAGTCAACGAACATAGGTTGAGGATACTGCATGTGTGATATGGGCTTTGCTGGGCATGGTGACATCATGGGCATGTGATGAAGGGGGTATCCCACTTGGATGTATGGAAGATTTGGAGGCAATTGATACGCAGGGGACATGCTTATAAGACCCGGCGGCTGAGCATAAACTTGAAGGGCAGATGGAGAAGGACCTGGTTGCAGATGTGATGGCTGACCAAGCATTCGAATTGGCAGTTGCATCATATCACCATGAGTGTTGACAGCATAGGGAGGGCCAGGAGACAGCTTTCGGTAACACGCCCCTCGCTTAAACCTCTCTTCGCTCCGCTTTCTATTAGCTGCATGTCTCCGTGCTCTGTGTGCCTGGCAAAATGCACCGAAGTGTTACTTCGTCTGGTAAACACCAAATCTGCACATGAACAGGTCTAACGCAGCAAAGTCACCCTTCACAACTCGCAGCAAACTCCATGCATTTGCTCTCTGCAACACGGTCTTTGGTGAGAACTACTTCAGTACCGATCTTAGAACACGAAAAAGTTACTTGCAGTCATAATCTCTGCGTCATCATCCCAAGCAGGCCCTCTTCGTACTTTGCATAAACTTTCAAACAAAGTGGAATCAGGTGATATAAGTTGAAATATTGTTAACAACGTACAAGTAGCATGCGTTTCTCAAATAGCATGAATGAAATATAGTTTCACTGATTTAGACGGTGATATTAAACATCTCATTCTGTCTAAATCAAAACACAAGATGATTAGTGGTGTAGGCCAAACTGAATCAAGCGCAACTTTTGAAAATTCGATGCATACACCGTTGCCTCGGTGCTGTTACAACGAAATCGGAGTGAAAAATATGAACGAGAGACGCTAAGAAACCTAGTTCTGCTCTTAAAAATGCTCGTCTACGAACGGGAGAATTCGTCGTCTTGAAGGATGTATGTAAAGGCACCTAAAGACACAATTCTTTATAGACTAACAACTTTGGAGGTTAAGTACTTAGAATTAGTGGATGGCCTAAAGATAGCTCTTGAAATGAAATATTCAATTACTCTAACAGGAGACTCCGTCTTGCGCAACATTACACAGCTGTGACGCGAAACATGCGGCAACAAAACTTCCTAAAGTGGAGAAATGTTTCGTACGAGATTCGCTTTACCATGCCTTTCATATAAGAAGCCATACTCTTGAACCGCATCCATGTCCAAGAATACAGTTGGTAGTACGAGTGATTAAGAATAACGATCACCCTATGCACAGATTGTCGAAAGTACTAAAGTCAATCAGAACACCGATACCAGTACAAGGAGGGAACACTTAACTAAGGGTTCAACTACATTCGATGGCCTCAATGTGACCGACCGCGTGAGTGAAGTGCTGTCTTCAAGCACACGTACCTGAGTATGGCAGACCTTCTTACTAACAGATAAGGATAGCGAAGATTGTCCAACAACTTCCTCTTGTCCAACTCCATCGGCGATCTAATGGTCTGGGATGCTGCCAACTGGTAGATTAAGACTATTCACTACGTTAGGAAAAGGCAACGTCCAATGAGATACCCCAGAGAGGCATTCCCCACAAGGATACACATTCAGGTGTTAAACTAAAAAACCACGCGTCGGGCATAATCCCACTACATTGACATTGCGTATGTCGTTCAACCTGTTATGCGTTCGGTACATGGCAAATCTCAAAAACTCACGCAAGGCCCACTGTTGACTAAGAGCAAATAGGGCCTCCCATTCAAAGACAGCGACCACTATCGGTTACTCACTGAAAGTACCTTTGCTTCGTGTACAACGTCGTTTTTCTCTGGTCGACGCGCTGGAGGCTGCTGCGCAGGTGCACTCTTTTGAAAGCTGGACGACTTCGGACTGGCGACAGCAGAGGTCAAATCTTTAACTCCAGCCGTATCCTGGCTCTTATCTGAGGACCGCACAGTTGGCGATTCCTCACATGATGTAGGCTGTATTTTGTTCTCCGCAGCATCGACCTCAACCTTAACCACCGCTGGTTTCACGGCTTCTACCCCAAGAGGAGTCTTCTCAAACTGCAGGCTTGTTTCCGAGTTGCTGACAGGGTTCGGAGATGAAGATGGCCACTCCAGACCGTCTGCGTTACCGGCCATCACGGGCTCGAAAGAGGCATCGTTGTTTCTGAGTTATGTATACGCTGACAATGTTAGGATATAGTAGACACCGAGTTGTGTACTACGAGACCACCAATATCAAATAAACTGGGTCAGACCTGCGTCGTGGACTTACCGGAAAAGCTTGTCCATATCGTCGAGATTACCGATGTTTGCCCATCCCAAGTCAAGCAAGCTCACGCCCTTACTGGGAGTATTCTCATCTCCGAAAGGCTCTAATCCTCCAGATTGTGAACCCACTTCAGTTAGAGAGAAAGGGTCTGTTACCATACTTCCATCCTCTTCACCTATGAAGAGTTGGACATCTTCACTAAGCATTCTAACGCGTTGGTCCTTCAATTCCTCCTCGCACTCGGAAATATCTGCCCTACTACGTGCCTCCTGAAGCGGCCCGGAGTCAAATGGTTGAGACTCCAGAGGAAGATCGACCACGCTGCCAAGATCACTCCATGAGCCTCCGGGTAGCATGTCTTCCATTGGCACTTCCTCGCCCTTGGACTCATCCTTATCTTCGTCGAGCTGGTCCGACTCGGAAGTTTCAGTACAGCTGTCTGATCCTCCTTTCGAAGCAGGCGAATCTCGATTCGATAAACAACTGAAAGTACCGTCACTACCTAGTTTCTTGCGGTGGTCTCCATTTGACGTCCAAGCCGTTCCATTTTGATTGCCGTTAGGGTGCGGCACCACATGATCTCCGTTCTCTCCAAATTCGTTCCATACCATGTCATCGAACTTCATAGGCCACCAGATCAACAGAACACGTTCAGTCAATGGAAAACCTCCACCGACATACATACGGACTCAGATACGATCAAGCTTACAATTTCTGCTTACACACCAACACCGGTGTGCACAAACAGTAACAAGATGACAAAAGAACCCCCACGAGCACTATGCTGTCCTCGTCTTTCAAAAATTGCGATCATGGACACCACAGCTTCAAGCACTATCCCAAGCTACCTTTGAGAAAGCTATAGTGGCCACGATGTTCTAAACGCTCATATATCAAGTTCATTACGTTCAGGTAAAACAAACGTCGCGGGGTGAAAGTGTGCAGGGAGAATAGGAATCACCTCCGGCTTCTGAGGCCTTTTAGTGAGGAAACAAACAGAGCTGTAAAAATTAACATCTTCTTGAGGCTGCCTGAGAAGGCGTTAACGACCGAGCAAATCTATTGAATAATGAAGGACTTCGACTCCTGGAGAAACAGAGCTACTTCTTCCTTATTTGTAGAGAGGCTTGCTATTGCAAGTCTAAGGGATCGAATGCCGTGGAATGAGAGAGACGATAGTCACCTGACCCAGAGAAGACCAAGTAGTCAGTGTGTTCTCCCCACCATCGAAACCCCATAATGACATACTTCTCTAACTCTTGAATACTTGCTGCCTTTGGTGTTGCGATCCCTTCACACTTGAAAACCACGTGGCCCCGACGATGTGTCGTTAGCCGCAAGCTTGCTCCTGCTACTCGACTACAGTAAACACTTTCCCGGAATACGTCGAGCAACGTTATCAAGGTAAAAGAACGTCGCCAGTACTGGTACGTAGACACTCGCAGATCTCTTCTTTCTCCCCACAAATTAATCAAAGCAGCCACACACCCAGTGATCAAAAAGTCCACCTTCGTTCCTCGCAACTGCGACGAGGCCAACAAGTTGAAGACGAATCTACGTTTACCCCATCACCAATCGCATACCGGGCAAGGCTCGGAAACTTTAATCCGCAGATCTGCGCGAAGTTGAAGAAAATAACCGATGATGATACTTCGTTCCTTTTCCCCGTCTTGGATGAAGGATTGCCTTAAAATCGCCAAACAGACTACAACAATTTCCGGTTTCGGCCCACAGTAACACCCCTGTTATCCCTACATGATCCCCGATCGTTCCTCCGTACATGTCCGATCAAGCGCAGGCGAGAACCAGCAAGTTCCGCTCCTACTTGCACTAGCAGCCGTTCCCCCCACTTCACATAGACTTCCTCCTCGTCTCTGGTTTTCTTCCACACCTGAGATGCCAAGGGCTCTTTCCAGCGTCCCTGGTCTCCACGATCCTAGATTCTCCGCAGACTGCTCAGCCTGCCTGCCTTTCTCAAACGAATCCTGCCCGGCTACGACGCTGGAACGTGTGAGCTCACTGCAGTCAGAAAACACCTCGGGGTCATGGCACTGGCGCAAGTTGTTACTACATCACAGGGCATTATTCAGCTGACAGATCTCCACGCACGAACAGAGGACCATGTGAAGGGAGAGAGGAAGAAAGATCAAGACGCGTGCTCGAGATACTGGTTGGTGATCGAAGGCAGGACGTGCCAGAGCTTCAACGTGGTTTGGCATTTCGTAAGTATTTCAGTTCAGGACCGTCTCAAAGGAATCGACGAGAAGAACCGACAGAAAGGGCCGCAGACTCGGAAGATACCGCGAGATATCACTTCTAGCAGACATCAAATGAAAACACACACACACAGACAATCTCTCTTAGTTTTCTCTTTCTCTCTCTCTAGAGCGCAGCTCTGCTCGGCGCTCGACGCTCGGGCTTCGGGGCGGGAGAAGGCGGGGAGGCTAATCCTGGTGGTGCATCGAACCTTGCAGCGGTCGGACGACGACGAGCGTCGGTCGAAACGTCTTCTTGGCGAGAGGCGCCCACGGGCGACGGAGCATCGGCTGCGGCCTGCGCAAATTGGTCGCGAAGAGCAAGAGTGCGACGAATCGAATGGACCCGCGGCGGGTCGATCGGGAGAGATGGCAGCTGAGGATGGTGATCGTACCGATGGGGGCGCGATGGCGCTGGCGCTGCTGCGCTCAGTCGGAGAATGGCTGCGTCCGACGCTCCTGGTGCGGGTCGAAATCGGCCGTGTTTGCTAGTGGATCGCGCGCGGGGTCGACGATGGTGCCGAGGGGAGAGCGGTACATGGCTAGGCATGGCACATGATCATCGAGAGCATCCATGGAATGGGAGGGGAGGGGACGAGAGCCATGCCCTGGGGTGCTGTGCACCACCACCACCACCATCATCATCATCATCGACGATTAGATGGGGACCTTTGGTAAGCTGAGCTCGAGAACTCAGCCACGTCAGGTGACCCGCAATAGTTCCAAGCCACCCGTTGCTGCGCAGCGAGAGGCCGTGACGACCATGTGAGCCCGCGAGCTCGACAACTCGAGAAGGCACGTGTGGGCGCCACGAACCCGCGATCCCCAAGCCCGACGGTGAAAATGTCACCCTGAAGTTTCCTCGGAGCGCGACACGTGCCGCGGGGCAGCCAATCCGCGCCACCTCGGCTGGCGCCTGTGGCACCCGCTACATATGCTGCCACGCGGACCACCGGATCGCAGCATGTGGCTCCGAAGGAGGGTGCTCCGAGCCTGCGGTATCATTTTGCTCGCTCTCCGTCGTCTGCGAGATCCGCCCGTCACCCCGTCCGTCAACCCCCGCGCTGCCCGTCCGCCAAAATTCCTCTCCGGACGCGCCCCCGCCTTCTCGCCGTGCCAGATCCACCTTGCCCGCTGCTGACCATCGAAGCCATCCACTCGGCTGGGGTCCACGGCGAACGGATGGACAGCAGGCGACGGACTCCATTTGACCATACCAGTATGACGTATGGGCGAACGAAATTCTCCTCCGGCTGGCCCGAGCGCGGAGGACCACAAGACCCTCTCGGCCATCTCGTGGCGCTGCGCGGCCCCGGGCCCGGCCGTACGAGCCCCGAGCCTGCGCAGCCCAATGGCCAGGGCGCCGGAGTGGAGGATAGTAAGTTTGGAGCGTTGTGGAGGCCCGAAGGATTGGGTGCGCGCTCTCGTGGCTCCAATTGCATCTGCTGGATTTGGTGGGGTGCACCAGGCTTTTATCAATGCTCGCGCTCCGGAAATTCTTACATCTACCTGTCCTGTACCTGCGAGAGCTCCAAAGCATGGGGCTAAGCCTGACAACGCCAGCCATGTGATATTTGGCCCTGCATCACCTGATTCTCATACCCTTGTCTGGTTCACTCAGAGCCACGAATTTCTCTTCTCTGCTTCTTCTGAACCTGTAGGTTGCGTGCTACGCTGCGCTCGGGCCAGTCATCTCCCGACGCCCTGAGTCGCCCTCTGCCGGACTCCACGCTTCCATTAGTGGTCTGTGAGAGCACCAGCGCTCGTTCCCGTCATCCTGCTATCTCCTCGATCGAGGCCATCTCCTTCGGTTTGCCTCCTGCTCGCAGTGCTAGTTGCCACTCTGCGATCGTGAACAAACCTCCCCCGACGAGTTTTCTGACATGAACCACTCTTGTAGATAGTGTGGATGGATTGACAACGTTCTCCTCTTCCTCCTTCCCCGCCACGTGTCGTTCTGCCGTTGTTCTCCATCTTCCTCGAACTCCCGATACCATTCGTCGTTCTGACTTCAAACCGTTGTGCTGTCTCATTTTCGTGGAAAATGGGAGTCATTTAATCGAAGGACACTCACATCCTTCCAGGCTTCCGTCTTGAATGTTGAACCATCTCTTGTGTTCACCATCCTGCAGCGAAAATTAATGATTCTCATGGAGAGGATGTGGAATAACGGCGTTTGGGTGGGGCTGAATGTGTGGCTCTCAACAACGTGAGAAGATACAATGGCCTGCCACGTTGCACAAAAAGATTGCAACTTGTAGATCGCATCTAACAGAAGTTCAATAAATAGCTTTAAACCAACACCGTAGCTTACTCAAAGAACAGAAAAATCCTTCCTGCCTTCTGCCTTAAAAGTTTAAACATTTCGATGGAAAGTTATCCTGCAGCTAAGAGTACATTTACATGGAAAATATGTGAAACAATCTCTACATCAGCCAGTAGTATAAACAGATGACATGGCATGCCATGTTGCTCATATGCATTGCAACTTGCAGATCGCTTATGCGCGAAAAGTTTCATGTATTCCTTTGAGATAATGCCACATCTTTATTCAACACACTCACTAAATAACCGCACCAAATCCGTCACTTAAACCCTTCTTTCATGCATCTACAAATGCAATACCAGATATATGAGGATGGCCTTTTGGATGCACATCTCAACCTTTTGGGATGCACTTTATGAGTTTGTTTTCAGAATGGAATATAATGCAGTAGTATGTGCAATGATAGCAAATGGATAATTAGAACAATAAGAATACCCATCAAGTTTACCAGGAATAAAACCAAGCGCTTAGCCCTAGTTCATATCTTGATGTGAACTGTATCCTAGAGCACTAAAGGTATGTCCAATATCTGCACTCCACTCAACCTCTAGTTCAGTGCATGCATTCGACACTTTATCAATAGATAAAGTATTTTGAAAAAGCAAAGATATTGAATAAAGATGATCATCAATATTTATAGATTTCTCCCTTGGCTATCAGATTTAAATATCTTTTCTTTCATCATTATTACAAACCCTTAAATAGCTGAAGATTTGTTACAATCTGTTTTCATATCACATTATGTCATATGATATAAACTGAACATTATATAATTGATAAATCAACAAGAGGTTTGAAAAAATCATATAGCATCTATTCCATGTGAAATAATGGTTAACATGACTCACAACCAACTCTGCTTGCAAAAGTGAAGCATTAGTCTCAATCTGACAGAAAGTGTTAACAATTTTTGATGTTCATAGGATATAATGTTGAATAATAAATCATCAATATTGTTAAATTTGTGAATATTTTTGATGATATGAAAATTTAAAAAAAATTTGAAACATCACCTCATAACATGTAGAGTATCAATGATTTTGAAACCTATCATTTTCCACAAAGTATTCAACAATGTAATTTGTTTCATCAGACCAACTTATATCAATATTTGAGATGCATATTGCTATATTATTAATCAAATAATATAATATGCATCCATGAAATATATCATGCATCATTTTACCAAAAGCTAAACATCAAAATTTTATGAGTACAATATCTAACATCAATAGAGTAACTCACTTGAAGATTAAACACAACTCTGAAGATGAGAGTCACATAATCTGATTTATGTGAGATATTTGCTTGATAGTACCCATCAAGTTTTGTTTTACCCGTTGGGACCCCAGGGACGGTGTGCCGTCGATGAGCTCTAGTAAATGTTATAATATGACTATGTTCTTGTTCTTGTATTTGTTCTTCTAAGAAGAGGAGGTGAGTTCGTTCGGACGAGGAGAAAGAGAGTAGGTGTAGGCGAGAGGGAAGAGAAGTAGGAGGATTTTTTTTTCATTGAGAGAGAGAGAGATAGAGAGAGTAGAGGAGAGGAGGGCGGAAGCGCTTGTTCATCCAGCAGAGACAGAGTAGGAGGCGGTTCAATCTGGTGGAAATTTCTTGATTGTGAGAGAGTACGGCGGTGAAGGGATCGTGCATCATCCGCAGCACGGGAAGGAAGAGGTTTTCGTGAGTGCAAGACTCGTTCATCACGCGTCGGACGAGAAAAGTCGCGAGGGCAGCAGACGTCAAACGGCAGGGAAACGGATACGGAGAACAAAACTCACTCACGAACTCACTGTCTGTTCATACTAGTACAGTCTGACGTGTGCCGTAGTTGGGGTCCTATTGGGTAAAACGAAACTTGATGAGTCACATCAAGCAAATATGTTCTTGATAAGATCCCATCAAGCAAATACCTCTCAATTTCACTCTTTATAAATTGATGATATGGCGAATAACCATAACAATTACACAAATTTCTAATGTGCGATTCTCAACTTACACATTCAATCCGTATTTACCCATCACACAGATTGCTAATGTAACAAGTCTAAAGAGATTATTGTACTTTCATCTTGAATAACATCTATATCAATTTAAACAACCTAGAGAAAATTTCAAATCCATGAATATTTTTTCTAAAATGAAAAAAAAAACTAAAACTTCAATTGTGTCAAAATTATCAATTCATTTCAAAAAAATATCATTATCCTATATAACACTATGTAAAAATTTAATCAAATTTGAAAAAACTAAATACACATATTCAAAAATAACAATTTATAATAATTTATTTAAATTATAATATATTGGTTTATATTATATCCATACAAAATGTAAAACTTAATTTTTAGTTATAAAAATAATGTATCTTCTTGAAATTTTAAATATAAAAACGAAAAAATACTTGAAAATAAATAATAAATTATATTTTTAAAATACTTTAATATTTAAAAAAATGTTTTTCAATAATAATATATTTAAATTTTATTCTTAATATACGTAAATAAAACTTTTACATTTTGTATTTTTTTAAAAAATACTTTAAGAACATATTTTAATGTTTTTGTTTATTTTCGTAATATTGATATAAGCTCAAGCCGTTGTCAAAGATGAGTTCAATATAACAAATTTTTGTATTGATTAATAAAAAATATATTATTTAAGTTCATTTTTTAGTTAAATATACATTGAAATAGCATAAATCATTTGTAGTTCAATTTTGTTGGTTTTGAACTAGAGATATAATAAAAAATACTACAAAAATTTCACAATATTGTTGGATTTTATTCCTTGATGTGTGTTATTTTTTGATTGTGAAACATATGCAATCAAATATAAGATTATCAATCCATCAACACATTTAGTAAACAATTTTAGAACGTTTTTGATAAAAATCAGTTTTAAACTAAAATGATTTATGATCAAAAATAATTTTTCTTCTTTTGTACTAAAAGAAGACGAACTGTTTATTTCTAAAAGCTCATAATCAATCAAATGTTAAATTTGATATGATTATGAAAGTACAAATTTGTTTATAACATGTGATTGATAATAATCTTTTTTCTGTTATTGAATATACCAATGATGTTACATCTAGTATTGTATATTTCTAGAAATTAAAAATCTAACAAATTGAAGAAAATTACTGAATAAAACACCTAGTTGTGCAACATTTTTTCTAAATAAAAATAAATGTCAACAAACAAGCTTAACAAAATAAATATTTGTAATAAACAAAAATATGAAAAAAGTTAATAATTTTCTAATAAAAATTTTTGGAAATATAAATAAATGTTGATATGCATTTATCTACTACTTTACATTTTAACATGCTCATTATGGAAAAACTTAATTTGAGAATTTTAAATGAAGAAGTTATAAAAATGTTGCATTCAAAAGTTATGATTTGAACGGTATCTATCTTATTAAATATTAGATAGATATTCCATTGAAAACTATACAAACAAATTTATAAGAAAATTAAAATTAATTATATCGACAGTTGTTTGATAATTTGTTATATTATAATGTATTTATAAAGTTCTTTGGCAATAAATTTCAGATTTCATAATAATCATGAACATGTCATACTTTGAGTCCATTCTAAAATGATTAATTTTGAAATTTTTTTAAAGTAATTTTCAAACAGATTAAGATTCGGAGTAAAATAATAATACATCTTTTTTTTTTTGTCTTTGAATAAAATCATAGACAATATCTTCCATGAGGTTTTTAAAGTTTAAGCATACAAATCATAGATTTTGTACATTGTTGTGCAACTGTCTAAGAACTAGTGTTTGAATCATATCATTAGATAACATATATAGAGGTATATACTTGCTGAAATAACATTGGAACATAAATTGATTATTGTAATACTTTAAGTTTGATTTATCAAATGGTACTCCATCAACGGTACACGTCATGCAAGTTCTAGTATCAACAGATGATGTAGGCAATGAAACTCTGTTGCAACTACCGCGACTTTTTACGTTTGACGTCTAGTGGAGCTATGTTGCAACATCTGTCTAGTGGAGTTGTGTTGCAGCATTTGCCTAATCAAGCTCTTTTGTAGCGATCGCACGTCTTGACGTAAGACATAGAGCCTCTTGACATCGGATGTATTGCTCAAAATGTGAGCAATAATTTGATCTCTGCTTTAGCTCAAAATTACTTCAGTAGGTATTTATCAAGATTGATCAATAACTCAAGATTATTTCACTAATACTTCATAAAAGATTGAATGTTTTCATGACGGATTCAAATTTTTATTGAGATTGTATGATTGTTAGTCTAACATTGTTGAAGCTCACATGCTTCAATGAAATAGTAGTTGGTGCAGGTTACAATTAACCTTGTGCAGGTTAATTGTAGGATCTGTTTAAAACATGCTTCTTGATATAATGTACTTTTCCATCATTCAACTAAGAGAGGTAAGCCATTTACATATTATTTGTATAGTGTGCTTGTATGGTTTAAAGCGATCGAAGCTATAATTTAAGTTCTTTTCAAAGTAACATGTTTCATAAAC